TCAGGAGTTCAAGACCAGCCTGGCCAACATGGCAAAACCCTGTTTCTACTAAAAAATACAAAAATTAGCCAGGTGTGGTGGCACGCACCTGAAATCCCAGCTACTCAGGAGACTGAGGCAGAAGAATCGTTTGAACCCAGGAGGCAGAGGTTGCACTCCAGCCTGCATGACAGAGCAAGACTCTGTCTCAAAAAAAAAGATACCAAGTAGTCAGGCATGGTGGCACAGGGCCATAATCCTAGCTACTCTCTAATCTGGCTGAGACCAATGATTTCAAGACCAACCTGGTCATCATAGCAAGATCCTGTCTGTAAATTACAAAAAAAAAAAAAGACACCAAGCAACTCAATTTTTTTTCCTAAGAATCCAGACAGGAACCTCTACATTCAAGAACCTCTTTGCCTACTCTTTGAGTAATTCCTAATTTTTCTGGCCCTTATTAGGAAATTAATAGTGAAAGTAGTTTTCCTAGACACAAAAATTTTATCCTTTCTTCAAATCAATCTTGATCTCTTGCTTTAATAGGAAAGCAACTGCTCTTCTTCAAGAGAAGTAGCATTCTCTTTTTATTTTTTTTATTTTGAGACAGAGTTTCACTCTTGTTGCCCCCACTGGAGAGCAATGGCGCGATCTCGGCTCACCGCAACCTCCGCCTCCTGGGTCTCGAACTCCTGACCTCAGCTCATCCACCTCCCTCAGCTTCCCAAAGTGCTGGGATTACAGGCATGAGCCACTGCGCCTGGCCAGAAATGGCATTCTCTAGGGTCAAGATGGCTACATTCACAGACCAGCATTCATATATCCTGCTACATCCCCACACCCACGTAGAATTATGGGTGGATGGGAGGCTCTACAACATGCAGGACCCATATCCCAGAGAAGCCAACAGAAATATCAATAGCATTTCACTCCTTTCACTCACTTTGCCAGTTTCACCAGAGCCATTTTCTCCACATCTCCCACGGCGTAAGCTCTCCAATAACACTGTCAAAAAAACAAACTGGTCATTTTGACCATTGTCCCATGTGCCACAACTAAATCATATGAAGGTTAAGACACTGCAAGCCTCCCAGAAGTTCAGATTTATAGAATGCAAGGCATTACTAGTTCTGATAGGTCTAGGCTACACACTGACATTCCCACTGATGACCTTGGCCCAGCTTTGCTTTCAGACTATGTATCTATAAATATTCAGACTTTCCTATGCACCTAGATCAGAATAAGGGGAAAATTAGAGCACAGATAGCCCAACCTTCATCTAAACAGCACATTTCCACTCAAATTCTTCAGGAACCAATTTAAGGTACCTTTTTGGCTTCCACTAGTTGATTGAGTTTCTCATAACATTCTCCTAAAGCAACCAGCATGCGAGAATCATTGGGTCTGAGAAAGAAGAATAGGCAGTCTGAGCAAAGACTTGACAGAAACTGAGGTTCTCCCTTGAGAAACCAGTACACCACTATTTCAAATCTATGCAACAACTGGTCTTTTACTTAATGCTCCATATAATAGATTACTTTGTGTTCGTAATTATACTATTAACCCATTAGTGAAATACAGTAAATGAAAATAACCAAACAGCATTTAGCAACTTTAAACTCAGATCCCCCAGAGTAAAAACCATCTACTGTGATTTGTCAATAGCTATCAAAAGAGGGAAAAAAATATATTAGCCCTTCTCATATCAGATGCATTGTCAAGTGACCAGGCTTACCGAAGCTGGTGGGCCCGTCTATAATAATAAAGGCAGTAAAATGGCATCTTAAGGATTTCATAGGTCTGCCCAAGGCCATACCAAGCTCTGTAGTCACGCTTGTTGACCTCAATGGCATGTCTAAGAAATGGAAAAGACAAGTTGTTAAGAAGGCAGAATCAAGGTTAGCAACTTGCAGGCTTAGAGGCTCCTAACATCACAGCAGTCTGCTCTACCTCACCGCCCTCTAGATAATCACCTATATGCCTGGATAGCAGCAGACGTGTTCTTCATCTCCATGTACTCATGTCCCATCAGTGTCCAGGCACCAAGATACCGAGGATTTAATTTCAGGGCTCTCTGGAAATACAAGGCTGCTTTCTCATGCTGAGAACGTAAACTGTAATAATTGCCTGATTAAAAGTCAAACAAAAAAATGAATAATCAGAAAGGTAAAAATAAAAGTCTATTAAAATAGATAGCATTCCACCAAATGGGCGTGAAACCATAATCCATTCCTTCTAAAGTCCTGGCAAAACACCCAAATTGTACAAAAGGGAAATATTCCCTTGGGAAATATATTTCATATATCACATATTCTGGTTTAAAAAAAAAAGTATTCTTTTTTTTTTTAATTTTTTTTTTTTTTGAGACGGAGTCTCGCTCTGTCGCCCAGGCCGGAGTGCAGTGGCATGATCTCAGCTCACTGCAAGCTCCGCCTCCCGGGTTCATGCCATTCTCCTGCCTCAGCCTCCCGAGTAGCTGGGACTACAGGTGCCCGCCACCACGCCCAGCTAATTTTTTTGTAGTTTTAGTAGAGACGGGGTTTCACCATGTTAGCCGGGATGGTCTCGATCTCCTGATCTCATGATCCGCCCGCCTCATCCTCCCAAAGTGCTGGGATTACAGGCGTGAGCCACAGTGCCCAGCCCAGTATTTTCAGTGTCATAGCTCTACTTGGGAGGAATCTGTCTTTCCTAAGTAATTCTAGGAAAGTTCAGTTGTGTTTAATAAGGAATTGCAAATCAACTAATCTTACATTATTTTGTGCTCACATGCTTATGTTGAGTTAATCCCTGATATATAAGCAAGAAATAAATTTTCCCCAATTGCTTTTTAAAAAATGATCACTACACAGCCCAATGCTCCAACTCCCATATTTACATGAAGGTGAGAGAGAAACAGATCAATATTTATAATTCGCTACAAACACAGTGACTTCTATCAAGACACAGGCAGAAAAGGGTAAAGTACAGTAAAGTACAGAGAGATAAAGACTGCCTGAGAATGAACTTGCTGCATCTCAAAAATCTACAGGGAAAAGCAATGAACCAGAGCTACATTAAAGAAAAAATATATCCTTCCAAACCAGGCGCAGAGTTGGAAGATGGCTAGACCAGGGAGAAGGGCATAAATCCGATGGGAGAAGAACAGCATACAAATGGCCTAATTCAAACTCCATGCATAAATACAGCATCCTAAATAGTACAGGCTAGTCATTGATATCCAGGTCCTGAAGTCCTCCAGACCTAGGATTAAGCCCCTGCTCTGTCACTTAACAGATCTTGGGAACGTTGTGCTCTCTCAACCTCAGTGTTCTCATCTGTAAAATGGTATAACAGTGCCTATCATTCAAGGACGTGTGAATTTGAATGGGTTAATTCATGTGAAGTACTTGTACTGAGGGGTGGTCTGTTCCCAAATGCCTCTCAGAGGAGGCTGAGATTTCCTTCTCTGGGACCCGCTGGGTGCAGGTTTTTGGTCTTGATAAAAAAAAAAAATGCTAGTTTAGTTTAATTCTACACTTCCATTTCCTAGTATTTTAAAGATGCTCAACCTCATTCCTAAGATAAATGCAAACTAAACTACCCTTAAATACCATTTTTCACCCATGATATTGGCTAACATCCTAAAGTTTGCTAACACTCTTGGATGTAGAGGCTGTGAAGAATCAGGTCCTCTCAGACTGCTGACTTGAATGTAAATTGGTATAACCACTACAAGGGTGATTGGCAATATGTCAAAACTACAAATGCACAGACCCTTGGACTATGTACAATGTTAGTCACTAAAGAAAATTTTTCTAAAATCAAAAGACTAGAAATAACTCCAATGTCTATCAATGAGGCCATTCAATTAAATTATGTTTCATCCCTCTAATAAAATATTTTGTACCTGAATATAGTTCTTTTTGTGTTCATATGAGAGTTCTCCAAGATATATTTTAAATTATAAAATAAAGATGCAGATGAGTATGTGTAATATGCTACATTTTGTGTCATAAAAAGGAAGTAAACATGAATATCTAAATACATTTGTCTTGAATAACCATAAAAAAATTTTAAGGCTGGGTGCAGTGATTCACACCTGTAATCCCAGCGCTTTAGGAGGCCCAGGTGGGATTGCTTGAGCTCAAGAGTTTGAGACCAGGGGCAACATAGGGAAACCTCATCTCTCCAAAATTTTTTAAAAAATATAAACTAGCTGGGCATGGTGGTGTGCACCTGTAGTTCTAGCTACTTAGGAGGCTGAGGTGGGAGGACTGCTTGAACCCAGGAGGTCAAGACTGTAGTGAGTCATGATTTTACCATTGCACTCCAGCCTGGGTGACAGAGGAAGACACTGTGTCAAAAATAAAATATTTATACCTTTTTATTCTTTTAAAGATTCAAATCATGCAAATTGAATTCTTATCAAAAGTGAGTCAAGTAATAATTTTAAATTTTAATTTTCTAGAGTCAAAGTGTTCTGTGGTCAGCTTTGTGGGAGTAAACCTAGTCTTGCTAGAGTTATCATGGCCCACTCTCTGTTTATTAAAAGATTTTTCATATATTTTTTATGCTTGTGTCCCAAACCTTGTTTACTTTGAGAGAAGTAAAACAAGTACTGCTTTCCCTGGAAGAAGGCAGGATTGCTCCTCAGATGGGGACAGAACAGTGCACAGAATAAACCTACTTCCTGACCATGTCTCTGCCTGTAGCTACTTGACTTTAACCTTGGTTGGACAAGTTGCCTTCTTTGCCTGCATGCCTCAGTTTACCATTTCATAAACTAAAGATGTTACTCTAGAATATTTTCCTTTCAGTTATTCAATTTTAACATGAATAACAATGACACATGCCAGTGCCCTTCTCTACTCAACCTCTCACACTTCCTTCAATTTCCTGACCACATTCTTCCTTTTTCAAACATTTAATAAGTATCTATTACATGCCTGGCATGGTGCTAGGTGCTTTGGAATTCAAAGATGAAAGACCAAGTCCCTGCTATCAAAGAGCTCATGGTCTAGGGAAGGAGAAAGGCAAAAGACAATTATAATACAGAGGGAAAGTTCCATGATCAACCACATCCTACCCACAAAGCTCTCAGAAATGAAGAGTGCCAGTATGACCCAGAAAAGTGTAGAGTCCCTTGGCTGTTACACTGTCTCTATGAGTAATACATTTACTTATTTCCCCCACAATCCAAGTGTTCCTGCTGCCTTACAGTAGGAACAGTAAGGGCATCCTTGGCTCATTGCCCTTACTGTTTGGCTGTTTCTTGGGGAAATTTATCCTTTCCTTTCACTTCCTTTCTGGATTTATCCTGGAACCCCATAACTGGTCTTCACATCTACCATTTCTTCTTAATCCAGTCTATCATATATGCACTTGCTAGGCAAGTACGCCTAACATACTTCATTCCATTTAGTCTCCTGAACGATCAATCTCTGAATATGAAGGTGGTAAATGAACAAAATGCATGGCAAGCTGTGCTATCTGGTATCTGGCTAATCAGAGCCCTCCTCTGTGACATTTCCACAGATCTTCTACACAATGACACATGACGAATGGTGGCCCCATCCCCAGACATTCTAAGATCTGGAGACACTTCTTAAAAAAAAAAAAAAAAGGGTCTTGCTTGCTTCATTGACCAGGCTGGAGTGTAGTGGTGCAATCTCAGCTCACTACAAACTTCACCTACTGGGCTCAAGCGATTCTCGTGCCTCAGCCTCATGAGTAGCTGGAATTTTAGATGCCCAACACCATGCCCGGCTAATTTTTGTATTTTTAGTGAAATGGGGTTTTGCCATGTTGGCTAGGCTGGTATCGAACTCCTGGCCTCAAGTGATATGCCTACCTCAGCCTCCCAAAATGTTGGGATTACAGGTGTGAGCCACTGCACCCAGCCATGAGACACCTCCTTAACATCCAAAAAAGATATCTGTTTCATCTAAATTTAGTGATACACATTTTATTGTATTCTAGGTATATCACATGTGTGGTAGTTCTTTATTAACTAGTATATTTGATTAACCTGGAAACCCCATTTCATGACTTCAAAAGCCAAGTTTATCCTACTTAATTAATATTTTTGCTCCATAAACAGTGTTTAAGATTGTAGATTTGTATATTTTGTCAATGGAAAAACAAAATTGTGATTTTAAAGATCACAGATTTATTGTAACACCTTATATAAAATTTCTATTAAGTTGTTACCTTCCCCTCAAAAAAAATTCAACAATGGATAAATAACAACTAAATAATCACTAAAAACAAATCCACACAGACTAGAATAAATATCAGTGTAATCACCTGTTCAGGAAAAAAATGCAAAACAGTTGGGCAAATTGCTTAGCAGATTATGCAATGGGTGTTTGGGAATTTTAAATGTGTCTCAATGGAAGCACAAATATTTATCTTTTCTATTTCTCAGTATAATGTATAGTCAATAAACATTTTCCTCTAATGTACGAGCCACCTGTGGTATCACTCATTGGAATTTAATTCATTTGCAAATCCTTTCCCACTGTCTTGTAATTATTTGCTTCTAACCTGACAATTGGGGTCCAAATGCGATAAAATATATTTTCTCCTTTTATACTTTGGACAGTGCCCAGTGTACCTCAGTGTCCTGCCAGGCACTCAAAACACTTACTCAACATAGAGAAATAAAAACAAATCATTTCACCAGAAAGCTCAGAGAACCACAG